CTGGAGAAGTTGGCATAACACCTTTTTCAGTATTTAACCTTTATTATTGGGCTAAAAAGTGTTTGGATAAAAGATGCACTGAATGAATGCTGCAGCCATATCACTTTCCTGCAAAAAAAGAACCCCAACCCCATGGCTTTTGAAACATTGACAAAGCTATGTTCTTGACATCTTGAATCCCTCTCCCAGTTTGTTTTTACAGACACATCTCTTATGTATACTGCTGTATGTGCATTTCTGAGATTTCAATAGTGTCTCCTGCTGTCATGCAAGCTCATATTATTGGATCGATGTGGGTGTTGATCTCCCCATCAAGATTCAGGCTAATAAATTCTGCCTCTGGGTTCAGCTTACTTGTCATGCACTCCTGTTTAAGAACATACTTGCCATCTGTACACATTAGGCAGACTTTCCACTGCCTTTAGTGGCTGGGCCCCATTCATGAAATGTTTTTCAGTACCACCTGGAAGGGATAATGGGTTGGGAGGCTATATCAAGCATTTTTGTAGTCATTATTGCCTTCCAGAATCTGCAGGTTTTTTTCTGGGTAATTTTCAGTACTGTTTGACATACCAGTGGTTGGTATACTGGTATCAGTTGCTGACTCAGAAAATGAAGACTTTGGCAATGAAAGATTCCTTTTGTCGACTTTGAAACAAGAATTTCAGTGCAGTCCCTGTAGTTTATTTAAGCTATTAACTGTACTAATGACTCTGAGGAGGAAAATACATTACTGTATGAGCAAGATATTGTTTAATATAGTAATCTCAGGTTTCTGTAATCCTTATGTAATTTTCATTGTCCTTACTAGTCTGATCTACAGTGTTTGAGGAGGCGATAGTTGAAGCATTTCTTATTAAATGTTTTTCTTTTTATGCCCCAAAGAGCCTTTCACTCACAGCACCAACATTTACTGGTTACCTCCGGCCCAAAGAATGTCCGTTTAGCCTTGCCCAGGGGCAGGGTTTTTTCTGCTCTGGCCCCGGCCTGGTGGAATCAGCTCCCACTGGAGATTTGGGGCCCGCGGGACCTTTTATCGCTCCGCAGGACCTGCAGAATGGAGCTGTTCCGCCAGGCCTTCATTTGAGGTGGTGAGCGTCCACTTCAGTTGGCCTCCCTGCTTTAGTTTCCAACCTACTTAAAGGGCCCGTCTGATTTTACCTTGTGGCCCCAACAGATTTATATTGCTGCTACCAATTTTATTGTTTATCGTTTTTATGATTTTAGTGTGATTTTATTGTAACAAGTTTTGACTTGATTCGTTGTGATCCACCATGAGCCCATTTGGGGAGGGCGGAATAAAAATCCCAAAAATAAATAAATAAAATGTTAAAATGACAAGAATAAAAGTATGAAATAACTATTTTTTTCTGGAATAAAATATAATTAACATATAGCTACAACTAGATGTTATTAACATTCAAAAGTCATCCTCAAAGCCTCTTAAGAAATAATTTCATAACAATTTCCTAACAGAGACTCTTCAAGCTATGATTTAGCCAGTTCTACTCATGCCTTTCTGACTTCTGGTTATGCCTATCAGTCTTTTTATCAAACCATATATTCTGGACCTGAGTTTGGAAAGGATTTCCAGTAGCAGTTTGTATTTTCTTGAGTTTTAATCTTGGTTTGGGACATGTTTTTGACTTGGGATCTACAGGCAGCTCTGGATATATGCTGCCAGTCAGACCCTGACTAAGACAGCCATGTGAATTCCAAGACTTCTGTATCAGTATTGAAATTCATGGGCCTTTCTTGAAGCTTTTTACTCCCAGTAAAGACATCTTCAGAGATAGAAACATACTATGTGTTAAGTCTCTAAATCAATATCTAGGGGAAAACTGGCCTAGGTTATGGGCCCAGCAGGCCAAGGCTTGGTCCTAGAAATTGTGGCTTTGCTAAAGGAGGGTTAGATTGTACCCTATGGTAGCACCTTTTCTAGCAACTAAAACTTTATTTCCAAAAGACTTACTGGCATATGTAAGGATTCTAGAGATTGTGCCCCACACAGGGAATTGTAGCATAAGTTATCAAAATGGTTGCCAGATTTTTTTTTAAAGCAGCATGTAGGCAAACCAATAGAAGTTATATCTCAAGCGGATTTTAGAATGTCAGATCACAGCAATGAAACCATGTTGTGAAACTCTTTCTTTCTCTCCTGCCCTCCCCCATCCGATTTCTGGAGTTTAGCACTGCAAGTATGGCCACTGTGTTCCAAGGGAGCGAGAACTGCCTATGATAGATGGGACGTGGGGTACGTGGAGCCCTTTTGGAGCTTGCTCGCGAACTTGTGGTGGAGGAATTAAGAATGCTGCTCGAGAGTGCAACAGGCCTGAGTAAGTACGTGAGCACTTAACAGTACATTCCATTTCAGCTGATGCAAATGAATCGATAATCCATTGTTCCTTCCTTCAAAAAACTGGAAAAAATGATAGTAGGCTGTTATCTCCCATCTCAAAACCAGATTGTTTTCAACACATACTGAGTAATACAGGGAAATGTTTTATGCTTACAGTTTCTAATTGGCTTCAGCCCAACAGAGAAGATGAAGGTGCTAAGTCAAGGCTGATACTGCTGTGACCAAATTCCTACAAGGGTAGCATTTTTATGGAGAAAGCAGAAAGAGGCACATGACAGTTGCATGCAAGTACATTTTGCTGCATGTACACAAGGTGTGAAGTCATAGATAATCATACCTTTTCAGAAATACAGTGATACATGTGTGTCATCATGCAAGATTTTTTTAAAATCTGTTCAGATTGTTGTGTATACCTCAGAAGTAGGGGTGTGCAAAAACCCAGTATTTTTCGGGTTTGGGTTATTGAACCTGAAAAATATCAGTATTTCCTGATATTCCCAAATCCCAATACCGGTTATGGTATTTGGATTCAGTAAATATTTGGGATTGCCAATTTTTTTGGCTCCATTATACCCTACGGGGACCATTATAGTCAATGGTCCCCATATGGTATAATGGAGAATCAATCCAATTGTATCTTGGGCTCTATGGGGCTGTTTTTTGAGGTAGAGGCATCAAATTTGCAGCATAGCTGCTGGTGTCTCTCCTCAAAAACCCTCAAGTTTCAGAAAGATTGGACAAAGGGGTCCAATTCTATGAGCCTCAGAAGAAGATGCCTCCATCCTCCATTTTTCCAATGTAGGGGAAAAGGCATTTAAAGGAAATGTAGTCCCTTTAAATGCCTTTTGCAAACTGTAGCTGTACTCCGAAGGCTTTTAAAAGGTTTGCAGTCCCTTTAAATGCCTTCTCCAAGCTGCAGCTTCACCCAGAACGTGTTTAAACACTCTTTAACACCAGCTATCCAGTGGCCCCGGAAAAGTCCTGAATATTTCCAGGATTTTTCTGACTCGGCTGTATTGGATAGCCAGATAAATACCCCAGTTGATATCCAACTGAAAAAATACCCTAAAGTACCTGTTAGTTATTTTTCAGGGTTTTTTTTTTTACTCCATTTATACCAAACGGGCACCCCTACTCAGGAGATGTCTTTGCTGTTTTAGTTCACTGTTAATAGTCCACTGCTTTGATTTCTTAAACTGAGAATTGGCTGCTTTTTATTCTGTTTTTATCGCTGCTGTTTTTATTTTTAGTTATGAATTATCTGGTAATGTCAACAGTTTGGTGATTATTTTCAAGATAGTGGCCTTAAGAACCTTCTGGTTAAGGGTATGGCCTAGAAAAATAGTTTAAAATAGTTTAAAACAAGCAAATAATGATTACATGCTATTTCATCTGAAGCATCCTGAGTTTATCATGCCTGAGCCCTAGGACATGTTTCCATAGTGCCCTGGTCCAGTCCTGAATCCCTTGAAGCAATAAGGAGTGCCTTTGGCCATATTCAGGTGTCTTTCCTTACCACTGAGAACCTCTCTCAACATTTAAGGTTAGGGATTAACGATCAAGTTTTCTAGGGTGAGACTTTAATAAACAAACAAGATGAGAGTACACAGACCTGGTTCCAAAAATCTATCTTTGCTGATGTTCCCAGTGATCTATTATGTTCATAATTTAGATAGGATTTCACATTTACAATGTAACCCTGTGGAGAGTTACTCCAGTGTATGCTCACTGAAATCAGTATCTGCGGGGGTTGCATTGTTACGCTGCCAGATGTCAAACAGATATACTTTACTACCACAAAGCTTATTGGTTTGATAACTAGTTTATTGGAAGATTTGGGGTGGGGAGCAATTAAAATTTTTGAAAGAACCTCCCACCCGCTTATCCTGGCTAAAGACAGGAGCTTTTCTTGTAGAGGATTGAAACTAAGTCTACGATTAGAACTGAATTTCAGCATAACTGAATGAGGGACTCTGAGTAGAACTGGAAGGTTTAAACATTCTCGACCTGTGATTGGCTAGAAAGTGTAATATTCGGGAGGGGCTGCAGCTCAGTTGTAGAACATCTGCTTGGCATGCAGAAGGTCCCCGGTTCAATCCATGGCATTTCCAGTGAAAAGGTCTGGCAGTAGGTGATATGAAAGACCCAGGCCTCATTTCTGCCCGAAGTGCACAGGAGCGACGCAATCTAACCCTTGTAGCGACGCTCCAACAGTGAGGACCCCAGGGGGCGAGCACATGCATCAAGCCCCACCCCCTGCTCCCAGCAGCCCCCAGTCGGGCACGGGGAGCCAGAAGAAGCAAGGTAAGTAGAAGCCCCCCGCCATTCCCTGGCCGTGAAGGCCAGGAGAAGGTCTGCCGCCCCCGCTCCGGCACCCCTCCCTTGCCAAAAGCCCTTTGCCGCAGGCAGCGCTCCTGCAGCCTGCCCGCCCTAGAGCACTACACAAAGTGGCTGGAAATGGGAGTGGGTGGGTGGACGGACGCCCTCAGGCGCAGTCGCACAGCTGGCAAACCCCGGGACTGGCTATTGTTAGCTGAGATGGTGCGACAGCAGGGTGCGGGGCGAGAAGGAGCTTCTTTCGTCGAGGGAGCTGACTTGGCTGGACTCTGAGACGGCGCGTGGCTGATTGTGGAGTTCTCCAGAGAGTCCAGACACACTGCTGAGTCTGACCCAGCAGTCCCTGACGCCACACTCCAGAGCAGAGGGCCTCTCTTGCCGTGTCTGTGTGTGGGAAGATAAGGTTAGGCTGCTTTTCGGTGGGGGGGGGGTCGGCGGGTGGCTGCCTGGGCATCCTCACCACCGCAAGGTCTGCGAAGTTTGCCTGGAGCCTCCAGGCAAATGGAGTCGGGACTGGGAAGGGAGGTTTTAGCCACGTGCAGCCAGCAAGGCGGGCGGGTGGCGGTTTGCGCGCGTGCACTTCAGGGCTGGAGGAGAGGATGCTGGCGAGCTACAACACGCCACAGCAGGAGAGAGGTTTTTGCCATGTGCTTGCCGGGTGGGCAGCATTTTGCTCTCACGCACTGTGCATCAGAGCTGGGAGGGGAGGATGCGGACAGGGCAGGTCACATCAGAAGGGGATGTGGGGGGGGGGGTCAAGTCTTCTCCCATCGCCTTCAGAGCCAAACTGCACAACGTCTCATTTTGTGGTGGGAGCGTCGAGCTTCGTCTCCCCTGTCTGGAGCGAGAGCGAGGAGAAGCCCTGCTCCATTCCCCTCCCACTCACCCTCTGACTGAATGGAGGGGGAGGAAGAGAGAAGGTGACGAAGGGATTGGCAAGATTGGCTATGGAGGCAGGAGGAATGGGGGAGGCGGGGCCGGCGGGGAGCTCCTTTCCATGAGCGTTGTCAATTCTGGCTTGGGAAATGCGTGGAGAACCGGGACGGGGGGGGGATATAGGACGCCACTTTCAAAAAGTGACAGATGCGAGGCTGGCAAGATCCATCAGCCGGTAGCCATCGTGAAACTTGGTGTTCTCTCCATTTGTTTGGCCATGGGAAAGTCAGGAGGTGAATGTGGGCTCCCAGTGCTGATGCAGCATTCCGGTGGGTTGTGCGGGGTGTGTGTGGAGGAGTGTGGATCCCTAAGCTAATCTCTGGATGCTGACAGTGGGAGGTGGGCTTAGCTCTTTGATGCTGTGAGCTGAAAGCCAGAGGATGGAAAGTATGCAGGGGAGAGCCTCTCCTTTGTCTCTCTGAAGTGTGTTGGTCTTTAGTGATCGATCAGGTCCAGTGATCTTTCCAGCATAAGGTAGTTCTGATGCTGGAAGGATTAGATCAGAATGTCAAATACTAGAGATCCCCTGGAATCCCCTGTTCTGTGAAGTGATGGAGCTGTGGGACATACTCTGTCTCCTTCACTCCCCCCCCCCTTAAGAGACAAGTGACTGTCCTAATAGGGACAGAATGCAGAAAGGAGTCTCCATATACCTTCTGGTGCCCAGGCTCTCTGTTGGGCTGCATTACACTGCAGTGGAGGGAACTGACAACAGCTAGATGTGTGTGATCTTGTGGTCCTTTGGAGAGAGATGACACACAGAGTGCTAGTTTAGAAATGCTGGAATCTGGGGATGTTGTAGATGGAGTAGGGGGAACCATTAGCATATCATAAACAAGGAAGCCTGCCCCCCCCCCCCCCTTGGGGTGCCCACGATGTAGGCCCCCCACCCCCGTGGTAGGCCACCTGAGAAGGCAGTAAACTCTTTCATGCTTCTATTAGCCTTTCTGGCATGGACAGGGTTAAATAAGTGAAAAGGAGTCGCACTTTATCAGAGCTGTTGAGAGTGCCCAGACTAAGACTTCCTCTGTTCCCCATGCCACTCAATTAAAAGTAAACATCATCTAAAAACCAGTCACATGACTTGCCTATTGGCCTCCCAGGGTGACCAGGTCCCTCAGGGTTTTGTCATCATAGCCCAGTGGTCTCCTCTCCAATATAGTACATCCTTCTTTCCTGAAGCATCTCTGCACTAAAGCAAAGAACTCATCCTAGGACATTTAACACCCAGGTTATTTATCGTAAGTTCAATGCTGTAGGAAAGCAGGATTTTTTCCTTGCTTCCTCACAGACTCTTTGTGCATTTAGGCACCTCCCACAGTTTCCTCAACTTTTCTCCATTCTCTCCCAAACCTCCTTTGCTGCAAAGTTTTGAGGATGATCGCAGCAAAGCCTGTTGTGTTAGTGGAAAAGTTCAGAGCCCGGGAGAAGGCCTGCCCCCACCCCACCCCCAACCTTTCCTGGGCCACACCTGGGCGCAGAGCCTGGGAAAGGGCCTGTCCCCCCCCCCCAAAAAAAAGCTTATACCTTGAATAAAACTTAGTTGGTCTTAAATGTGAGAACTGAGTTTGAGCCCAGTGGTACCTCCAAGACTGACAAAGTTCAGTTCTGGCCGGTATAAGTGAGAACTGAGAGACTTCGCAGATGTAGATGCACACTCCTTCAGATACAATGAAACAAATTTCCTCAGACATTATACATGGG